GTAAAGAATAAAAGTTACATATCTGGGAAGGGGGGCTTTGTGGGCCGTCCCCCACGCCCCACCGAGGTCGCCAGCTGCCCCCCACGAGCGGCTCTCCGGCACGGCCACGGCCCCGGAGGCACAAGGACTTAGCACAGAGAACCAGCCGCTTGGAGCAGAAAAGCAAATGGACTTGTGTTGAACCGCGCCACCAAGCCTGCCCGGAGGGGAAAGGGCATTGACCGGCCCGCCCGCTCCTCTCTGGAAAGAAAGATGGCGGCCGCACGGGAGCCTTGTGGAAAGCAGGTTTGAGCCGGGGTTGGCGGGAGCGGCAGGGACCTCATGGGAAGGGGGGCTTTGTGGGCCGTCCCCCACGCCCCACCGAGGTCGCCAGCTGCCCCCCACGAGCGGCTCTCCGGCACGGCCACGACTCCAGGGCACAGAAACCAATCTCTTAACTATCTAACTTTTAATAGAAATTCTTCCAGGGTCAATAAGTAAAATAGCAGAAATTCAAAACCGCGCGGCCGCAATAGCAATAGCGGCCGCGCGACATCATTTTATTCTTAAACCAAGTTGTAGAAAGCAAATCATTTCACAACGCTGTTTCAGCATGTCTGATTGTGGGGGGTGGGTCGTAAACTCTAAACAATAATTGTGCATCTTCTATCGAAATAATCTATCTAGTCAAAGTAGATAGAGTATTAACTAGAACTCATCTGCCTCACAAGAATTGGGAGGGGTGGGAGGTGGGGGTCTATTGGGGTTCGGGGTTAAAAATAAGTATTGGTAAAGGGAAATGTGTTTGATATTTACATGACTGAGACCTAAACCCGAAAGCTCTGTAACTTTTCCCACAGTGATTCAATAAATAAATAAATTATAAAAAAAAAGAATAAAAGTTACATATCTATTTGAACGTTGGTGTTGTACTTTTAGGCATATGCAAGTTTAATGGCCTGCCTGTCTGTATCATTTTCTCCTGGAATGACAGCTTAACAGTTTTCCTGGTTGGGTTGTGTTAAAATCTTTAAAGGCTGCATTCACTAAAACATATGTCCAGTGTTCATGCAGCCAGAGTCTGTGCAATCATTTTAACAGAGTTTCACTTAGCAGCTCCATTACTCCAGATATCTTGTTAAAGTTCCGTTAAACTATCCTCAATTTGGAATCCGTGATTTTGTATTTGAATTGTTATGGAACATGCTGAGGCATGCTTTTGTACTGTCTTAAAAATGGATTTTGCTAAGAAAAGAATGACTGAAATAAACAAAGGCATACCTAAGGTAGTTCTTTAAATCGATTTTAAAATCTGCTTTTACTAGATTGTCTACCGTTTTTGGAACATTGTTCTAAGCACCCCGCATGTATTTTTGTCCTAAAAATGGTCTCTGGGGATAGATAGACAATTGGGAAAGGTCGTGGAGTTGCCGAAACTGGAACAAGGTATTTCTATTTGGAGCAGGATTATTGAAATATGTGTTGTTGGTAATAGATTCTTGTTTTCTGTATTGAGATTTTTTTTATGGCGTTTATTTATTTATTTATTTATTTATTTATTTGCTTTTTGGGTCACACCTGGCAATGCACAGGGGTTACTCCTGGCTCTGCACTCAGGAATCACTCCTGGCGGTGCTCAGGAGACCATATGGGATGCTGGGAATCGAACCCGGGTCGGCTGAGTGCAAGGCAAACGCCCTACCCGCTGTGCTATCACTCCAGCCCCCATCTGTATTGAGATTTTGATAGTTACTCTTTCGCTAGGATCTGTTAATGCCCCAGGGTAGGGGAGGTTGGGACTAGCTAAAATAGGGAGAAGGTGAGACTCCAGGGTAGAAATCCAAGACAGACCAGCCCAGTGCTAACTGATTTAGCAGTCACAGACTGTTTCTCTCCTGGTCTTTCACAAGAGTGAAGTTGCCTTGACAGATCTTCTGAAGTTCTTGAAGAGAGGGAAAATCCTTTTGTTTTGTGGTCTGGAGCACAGAGAGCAGTTATTTAAAGCCCCATTTTGGAATAACTGGCTGTTGCCATTTTTCACCTCGAAGTTACTGGTGCTTCATTTATCTTAGACCAGAATCCTGGAATAGGACTTAATGGCAGGAAGTCATTGAAGAAGCAGATACTGGAAAATTTAGTCTGAAGTGTGATCTTTTCTGTCTTGACTTGGTTTAGCTTTTATATTGCAAAGTTGTTTAGCCTCTTCACTATTTTTTATTTCAAGTGGGTGAATACTTTTATTTCAGAAGAAAAAATTAAAACTTAAAGAATTATTTTGTTTAATAGAAAATAAATATTAAAGTATCACTAGTACTTATTTCATCATTTATAAGAAAGGTGTGTATATTTTTAAAGTAATGTTTCTGTGAGAGACGCTGGAGCAATAGCACAGTGGGTAGGGCGTTTGCCTTGCATGAGGCCGACCCCAGTTTGATTCTTCCATCCCTCTTGGAGAGCCTGGCAAGCTACCGAGAGTATCCCACCAGCAGGACAGAGCCTGGCAAGCTCCCCATGATGTATTCGATATGCCAAAAATAGTAACAAGTAGTCTCACAATGGAGGTGTTACTGCTCAAGCAAATTAATGAACAACGGGAGGACAGTGCTATACAGTGCTATGCATTTTAATACTTGTCACATGATGTTATTGTGAGGAACAAAAATGGAAGTTATTTTTCATTGTTTTTGAGATTATGATTGCAACAGAACAAGTGTTTGTTACTTTTAGCATTCATTCTAGACCTTTCCCTTTGTCGCTTTAAATTTTATTTATATTTAATCAGAATACTTTCAACAATAGAGAGACATGTTTTTCACAATAGAAATGAGTAGCCCCTTTCTTTACAATTCCTTCACTATCATTCCTTGGGAGAAACATTTTAATAGTTTGGAGTGAATCCTTCCATATTGTTTTACATGTTGACCCAATTCACATAAATATATATATATGCATATATATATATATTTTATGTCTTTACTGCTATGGTGCTTATGTCTCATAAAAAAGAAATTTCATTGTTTCGGATTTTACTTATTTGCTAATTACTTATCACAGATGGCTTTCCTTGGCTTTAGTATTTTTTCATGACTGCCAGTACTTCACTGTATTGATATGCTTTGCTTTTTTCATCAGTGAATAGGTTTCTGTACTTTCTCTGTTTGCAGAATATTGTCTCAACTCCAAGTGTTGGAAAATTTTAAGTGAGTACACCTGCGCTTCGTTTCCCCACTGCGGTCTGCAGTCTGTAGGAAAGCACAAACTGTTTATTCAGGGTTTATTCATAAAGCTTTACATTTTTTCTTTTCAGAGGCTGCAGTTGAGGCAAAAGTACCTCCTTTCGGTGGGGAGGGAGGTTGGCTTTTTGGGTCACACCCGGCGATGCACAGGAGTTACTCCTGGGTCTGCACTCAGGAATGACTCCTGGCGGTGCTCAGGGGACCATATGGGATGCTGCGAATCGAACCCCGGGTCGGCCACGTGCAAGGCAAATGCCCTGTCTGCTGTGCTATCACTCCAGTCCGGTAAAAGTACCTTTTGACAAATTCTGTTGAGTGGGGTTTTAAGACAGCAGCAGTTATTTTAATGGAAATTTTTATTTTTACCTACTATAAATGTAAGGTGTACCTTCTAGCTTGTATGGATTTTGACATTTTTAGACCCTTCATGTTTGCAGGGTTCCAGAGATATAGAAATCTCAGTGTACAGTCTGTATTTTTAATCAGTGATGTTTAAAGTCAGGTCATCTTTTAGAGAATACCTTGAGAATGCATTTGTTGTCTTTATGATTGTGGAATATTTTGCCTCTATATTTTTAACAGATAGACCAAAGTTTAATTTGTGACTTTCATAGATGGCAAAATTATTTATGCTAAATCCTAATTACTCATATCCCATGGTTGTATTTTATTGGACAGGGATCTTATTCATTAAGGTGTTTATAAAGTTTTATGTTCAGTCACTATTTACATAGTAGATAAAATATTTTTGTCATGATTTCAGGCTTTATCTTGGAGTATTACATTTGCTGGCTGAAACTGCTGCATAGTTTTAAAATTCTAAACTCTTAATTGTCCAAAATAAAGGGAATCTTTTAATTTATGTATGTAATTTTTGCTTGGAAGGTTTTATTTTATATTCATCCATATTTATGAGTATTATTTATATAATCACATTCAGAATTTAAGGAAGGCAATATTAAATAATTATAAATGTTGAAAAATGATCTTCTTTTTGACAATTTGGTAATTGTTTAATGTATTTTAAGTATTTGCTTGCTGTCGATTTTAATATTTTTTTCCCTTTCAGCATAGCTGGGATCCTGCTATGATATGATGGTTGTTACACTTTTTGATTTATTACTCTACAGAGTATATCGTGCATGGTATAAACAGCCAATGCATTCCTATTATTTGTGGTATTTTTTATGTTTAATGGAATTTGTCATTCGTAACCAGTCTGTGATGCACATGAATGAAAGGGTTTTTGTAAGCCTTTTACTTTTGCAATGATTTCTTCCTGCTAGATTTCCTTTAACGTGTAGTTGTGTGAGCTCTTGTTTGTTACAGTTTTTACATGCTATTTTTATTATTTCTTCTCCATGAAATAATATTTTATACCTCCTTATTTATATGCAAATATGCCCCCAAATGAAATAACGCATCACTTTCATTCTGAAAGTATTGCAAAAAATAATAGGGCGATATATAAAAAAGTGAAATAAAATAATTTTGCTCATGTTCCAAAATATTTTATAAAATTGGGAGTGCAGTTTTAATTGCTTAGCATTACAGATCTCATTTTCTTTTGGACTAGGTTTATATATTGAAATGTTTTAACAGTGCAATATCAAATGAGTATCCAGTTGAAGGGATGTTGTCACTCATACAGCATAATGTTGAATTAATCAGTTTTTAATATCGTGTATTGGCATTAAACATTTTTCTCTTTATTGCTTAAAAAGTACCATAAGATACGCAAAATATTTATTATCTTCTACATGAGGTTTTTCTTTTTTCTTTCAGTCTGTGATCAAAACAGGGAGACTGCTAATCAGTCATGAAGCTCCCCTGACGGGCGGCTTTGCATCGGAGATCAGCTCAACAGTTCAGGTAATTTTTTTGGCATCGATTTTAACATTTATGCAATTGCATATGTCTATTTTAGGACAGAGATTGGTATCATATGTATGTTTTGGAAACACACAGTTCGCATTTTACTCTATTGCTTTTAGTTAATCTAGTTACATCCTTTTGAAAAGAATTCTTAAAATTATAAAAGGTTAGAATTTCTATATAGGAGGAAGAAAGTTTAAAATATGCATAAAAACTGGAGTTCAGTTATTTCTGTTTGAATTATGAAAAAAATCTTTTATATTTGGATTTTTATTTTAATAAGACAAGCAAACTTCCTGTGAAATTGATTATGAAATTGATTGAGCTCCTCTTATTTTTAGAGCCTTCATCTTATAAAAATGAGATTTTCAAGACAATAATTTAAACCCTTTGAATAATTTTTATAAACTGATTTAAAGTAATTCAAAATTATTTTAATGTGTTAGCTTATTAAGAAATTGTCTTAATGCTGATAATATCAGCTGATATTATATGGTAATATAAAAAATTAAAATACAAGTTAAAGCATTTGTTTTTAAAACTATTGAGTTAGCATGTTTTAGTTAACATCAGAAAATAGTTCCATGTATTTCTTTATGGAGGATTTTTCACTTAAAACTTTATTTCAGATGTTAATAAGATGATTTCAGTGTCTTGGGTTTTTTTTCTATTTTTAAAAATTAAACATTTAGTAATTAAAAATGTAAGTATATTAATTTTAAATTTAAAGAACCCTTGCAAACTGTTTTATTACTACTAAAATGCTTTTACTGTTATGATGCATAGAAGCTAGGAATTTCTTTTAAGAGAATGTATTTGTTATTAATGAATAATGCTTTTATGTAAAACCTTTAACCAGTAAAAGGTCATTTCAGATTGTAAATGTCTTCATGTGTGAATTGATAATATTGTACGTATTTTAAAATTATATGAAGTAAATTTCAACATATTTTAAAAACTCGATCAAAGAAACACACAATAAGCAGGCCCCAACAAAGCTATATTATTTTTCCATGTGTTCTCACTAACAATGTTAAAAAAGTTAAATATGTGAATTTTGTTTCTCCTTATTATTTAAATTAAAATTAGAAATATACTGCTCATTTTTGCAGGAGCACTTGGTATTTATTGTGCATTTTATTCATTGAGTGGTATAATGTATTAACTTTTTCAAAAAATAAGGGTATAAATCACTATACCATCAACATGTTATTTCAAGTCTGAGACAGAACTGGTGAAACAAACTGAAATATTCTGACTTGTAGTTAATATATAGTCGACTCAGCCATTTGATAGGATTGTGACTGTTGCTAATAGAACTTCCATCCTATCGTCTTACTTAACATCCTTCACTTGTTCACCCGAATGATGTCCTATATTATCTAAAATGTTAACTTATATTTAGGGTAAAAGCAAATCAAACAGAGCAGAAGCTTAGAAATTGTAATTCTTCTTGTGAAGTCCATTCACTTCTCTATATACTTTTAAAATTTGATCTCTAGACTGCTGGTAAATTGTAACAGACAATGGTTTATAATTTAGACCGAATGGGAATCAGAAAGATGATTGAATTGCTCTGAAAGGCTGGCACCAACAAGATTATAAACACTGTATCTTAGCCAGAACCTGAGATGAGGGGATGATAATTGTATTAAAAGTTGTAAAGGAAATCTTTAGAACAAGACACCTTGTAACATTTTCAGACACTCAAGAATATGCCCATAGTTTCTTAGGTGTCTGCCGTCTGACAAACTCAGATTGAAACTTACCATTTCCCTTTTGCAGATGCGTGTGTGTCGCCCTGAGTGCTTTGATTTACCCAGTTGAAAAAGACTGGGAGATTTGGGGCTAACGCAGGCGTCTTGAGCAAATGTTGAGTGCGTGCCTCTGCATTCTTTCGTTAAAGTCCTCTTTCCCCCAAGAGGAAGATAGAATTTTTTTGACTTGTTACAAAATGTTCTCTCTTTTCCATGTTAAAATTAGTTGGCCAAATGACCACAAGAAGAATTAAGACAATAATGTAAAATATGTAGAGGGATTTAAAATTTTTTTGAAATTAGAATAGGATTGATTTATTGATAGGAGAATGCATTGGAGAAAGTTCATAGTTTTTGCTGAATTCTAGTTTTGTTTTCTCAAGTGTTAAGTGTGGAAATCAGTTTTAATAAACCATAATCAATACAGTATTCTCCAGCGTTTGCCTGTTGTAGCTTTTACATGTTGTGAAAGAAGGGTGAAGAAAGGAAATTAGACACTGTAATTAAATTTTTTCTCATTGAGGAGTAGTGTTTGAATGTAATTTGGAGTACTCCAAACAATAGATTATACTTTTCAGTAATTATTTCATGCATGCATTGAACTAAATACAATATTTATATTGAACCTCTTTATGGAAGACCCCATTTTACATAAGTGAAAATTCTAAGATTACCAGTATCTTGTGTGATTTAATATGAAATCACTCAATTGTGAGATGCAGTTGCTTTCAGTACTTGGAATGACTAGTATTTCTGCATTTCTTTTTTATTGTTTATATGCTCTGTAAGGTTAAAAAAGCTAAAATGAAGTTAAGACATTGAAAACCAGTTTTCTGCAAAAAGCAGGGAAAAGGTACACAGAAACTTTGCATTGTCGTCTTAGAAAAGAAGTTTGAAATTATGCCTGGGAATTATCTATATATTTGAGCATTGTCGATTACGATGTGGAGTTATTCTCGTTATATCAGCAAATGTAAGGTTTTTTTGAAAGTAAACATAAGAACTCTGCTTTATAAGCATTATTCATGCAAGATATGTGGTAGCTCTTTAAAAGCTCATGGTTTATCTTTTAAAATAATACTAGAATGTTTTAAGAGAATGATCAACAATAAAATGGATGTTTTTAAGTATTTTAAAATATGAGAGCAGGGGAAGGAATAAAATCTAAGAAGAGTATTTTCGGTTTTGCTTAAGTTTTATTATTGCCATATTCAAAATAAAAAAATATTAATGAGGATATAGAACTACAGGGAGTATAATTTTTAAGTTTTTGGTTGGTATTTTGAGATAGAAAATTATGTTATACTGCATTTAACTAAATATTAAAGATTATTTTTGCTGAGCATGAAAGTATTCTTGATATTGCTATTAAGGTTATTTTTAGCTATAGAAATAAAGTATAAAAATTGATATAAAATATATTCATATTTTATTTAACTTTTCTACTTATATCTGATGACTCTTCCATCATAATACGATTCAGTGTTCATATCTTAAGCTTTTAGTAAAGCTTTATTACTTTAATTAAAAAAATTAAATATTATTAATTATTAAATATTATTAATTGAATACTTTAAAAATATTTATTGTTAACAGTTTGAAGTAATGTTATGCTCATATTCTTATAACTATTGATTAGAAACACACATATATACACACACACATATACAAACTTATCATTATCAGTCATCTCTTCAAAAAGCTTATAAAAATGCTTATAAATCTTAAAACCAATGGATCCAGTCTAAGAACTGCTTTGCATTCCTATTGGATTTAATTTGGAAGTTAATTGGGAGGCAGTAAAGCCGAGTCCATTGTATGTGGCTCCTCTCACGGGAGATTTCTTGGTCAGTTATCCAAAGCTGCACTGTCTCTTCTCATCTAATTTTAATTCTCATCTGTTCTCACTTGGGTGTGGGAACTTTCCCCTCTTTCATTTGAGACAAACCTGCAACTTGGAGATGTGCTTCAGTGAGGGTGTTTTGCATTCCATTGTGCACTCTAATTTGTGAAAAACTAGAAAGGCAGCAGAATTTATGTGACTCATTAACTTCATTGTGTTGTTTTAGCAAAGATTTTTATTATCCCTGAGAATTATATAAATTAATTTTATGCGATGTTTTTATTCCTCAGCTTTGTGTCACCACAATTTAAGAAGAAAATCTTTACTCTGCAAAAAATGTGTTAAGCTCATCCATTTTAGTAATTCTCTCAAATTAATTTTTCTTATTCACTTGAATGCAATATCAAAGTAGGCATTAGTTAGATATTAAGAACAAATAATTTATGATAGTCTAGCAGTTTTAAAAAGCATACTTTCTTTAAGCCTTGTAAAAACAAACCTTTATTATTAATTTCTAACACATTCTCATAATGATGAAATAAATCTTGACTCTGATAGGCTTGTGATAATAAAAAAATGTTTTTTTCCCCCTCTGGATTCAGTGCTTAGTGAGAGTGCCAAAAAGTTTAGGGATTGTGGTTGGCTTAAAGATTTTTCTTTTTTTAAACACATGGAAGCAATAAATCTACAATAAAGCATCCAATTGGAGAGGATGGTAAGTTTCCATACCATTGTCCTACCCTTTCTGTGCGGTCTCTTTTCCTAGAACAAGAACTTAGAAGTCCTGCATACCAACATGTATTTTTAAGGTAATCAGATTCTAGTAGTTTGAAAGGATTTTTAGAGGGTTGACATGAATCATTGTGTAAAAGCAAACTCATAATTTTCAAGTTAAAGAAGTCTGCTTTTCTCACTCTCTAACGTTAGAAAGAATTAACAGAAGAATTTTTTCTTATAAACTTACTACCACCATATTTACAAACTCTCTGTTTAAAAATATCAGTCTGAGGAGAATAAAAGAAAATCCTACGAAAAGCGTCTTGGGTCTTTAACCAGTGTAGAAAATATGTCCAGTAAAACTATTATGCTGATTAAGATCCATGAGAGAATACTACCAAAGGGGTTATTTAATAGTTTACCATAATTTTATAATCCTAATTTTTTAACAGTAATGAAAATGGTTTGCCAATGACAACAGATATGGCATACAAGGAAAGTATTGTACTAAAATTTAGTTAGATGGATTTTTATTTTATTTTTTTTTTATTGAATCACTGTGGGAAAAGTTACAAAGCTTTCAGGGTTAAGTCTCGGTCATGCAATCATCAAACACATAAAAAAATAAAAATAAAAAAAAATAAAATGTTATAGATAGGGGAAAAAACAAAGAGCACTCA